GCTAGTCCTGGAATTAGCCACTGTTCCCAGACCTGCCCAGGGTTTTCTGGCTACTGGGCCAAGGCTCCACATGCTCTTTCACACCTTGCTTCCAAGACTCCAGCAGCTTCTTTTTTTTTTAATGAAACTTTTAAAATATATATATATCTTTATTGATTTCAGAGAGAGGAAAGGAGAGGGAGAGAGAGAAATAGAAACATCAACGACGACAGCGTCATTGATCGAGCCCGCAACCTGGGCATGTGCCCTGACCGGGAATCAAACCCCGATCTCCTGGATCCTAGGTCGATGCTCAACCACTGAGCCACGCCCAGCCAGGCCCAGCAGCTTCTTGAAACACATCCTGACCTTCCAAAAAGCCTGTGGTTTCTGTGTCTTCAACTCACCCAACTCCCAACACTTCTACTTAGCCCTAACTCTGTATCAGCCACAACTGACTGTAAGATCTCTGAGGACATACCTGGAGCCTCACCTACACTAGTCAGAGGGTGTTTAGTTGCCCTGTTACTGGAGACCGGATTAGAACACTATGTGTATGAGGGAACATGCTGTCCTTTGTACAAGCACTTATGCATTTCTCATGACAGTTGGTGTTTGGTGAAAGGCTGTTTGTTTACAAAGGAATCCTAGGGTTTCTGTCTCTCATCTTCCACCCAAATACCTCCTCATCTGAAAGTGCAAATTCAGAGAAGTGTATTTCTGAAGATGGAGTGGAAGGGTATTTGCCAGAATAGAATAATCATTAACCTTTTTTTTTTTTTTAAATATATCTTTATTGATTTCAGAGAGAGGAAAGGAGAGGGAGAGGGAGAGATAGAAACATCAATGATGAGAGAGTCATTGATTGGCTGCCTCTTGCACGCCCCCGACTGGGGATCGAGCCCGCAACCCGGGCATGTGCCCTGACCAGGAATCGAACCCCAACTGCCTGAATCCTAGGTCGATGCTCAACCGCTGAGCCATGCCAGGTTGGGCTCATTACCCTTTTTTTAACTGCAGACTCCTTTGAGAATCACATGAAGGCTTCAGACTCTCTCTCCAGGACAATCACATATAAAAAATATGTTGCCGCCCAGCCGGCATGGCTCAACAGTTGAGCATCAACCTAGGATCCAGGAGATCGCGCTGTTCAATTCCAGGTCAGGACACATGCCTGGGTTGAGGGCTCGATCTCCAGTAGGGGGTGTGCAGGAGGCAGCCAATCAATGACTCTCATCATTGATGTTTCTATCTCTCTCTCCCTCTCCCTTCCTCTCTCTGAAATAAATAAAGACATATTTTTAAAGTATATATATATGTTGCCTATGCCATTCCAGAGCAACCATAGGTGCCTACAACTCACCCATGGACCCAGAATTCAGGTTAAGAATCCCTATTCTATAATATCTCTTTATGAAAGACATTCTCTTTGTGGGTAATGTTTTCAGTAAGATCCTGAGTGCTTGCTAAAGAGAGGTATCCCCTTTCTTTGGACTTGTTCCTTCTTTTCTCTTCCTATTCTTTTACCTAACCCCAGTGGGTTCAGTTCAAGTTCTCCTGTCTTCCATTTCTCAGCTCTTCACTTTTCTGACCTTCCAGAATACTGAGTGTCAGAACGAGAATCATAAACCTTACAAAGTGATTTTACTGTTTCGTGTCCCCAAGGTGACTGCCAACTCCTAGTAAACAAGGACTATGCTGGGTTTATTGTTGTTTATGCACACACCCCTAGTGCCAATATTCTGCACACCACAGAGGCAATACATGCTTGCCAAATGGGGAGATATCACTGCTTCTTTGTCCCTCTACCTTTAGGCATTTGCACTTGCAAATTAACTTTGAAATCTGGATGTATGCCCTGGAAAAGCCAAATGCAAAGGGCAAGAAAACAGCTAGCCATCCCACTTTTTTTAAAAGCCTCACCTGAGGATGTTTTACTGATTTATTTTTTATTTTTTTTAAATATATCTTCATTGATTTCAGAGAGGGGAAAGAAGAGGGGGAGGGAGAGATAGAAACATCAATGATGAGAGAGTCATTGATCGGCTGCCTCCTGCACGCCCCCAACTGGGGATCAGGCCCGCAACCCGGGCATGTGCCCTGACCAGGAATCGAACCCCAATCGCCTGGATCCTAGGTTGACGCTCAACTGCTGAGCCACGCCCGGCTGGGCTTGATTTTTTTTTTTTTTTGTAAGAGAGAAAGGAAGTGGGGTGGGGGTGGGGGAAAGAGAGAGGGAGACAGAGACAGAGAGAGGCATCGATGTGAAAGAGAAACATCAATCGGTTGCCTCTCATACTCATCCCAACCAGGGATAAAACCCTCTCCCAAGCAACACTCAGTTTTGCTTACTGATTCTTTCCCTTCACCTGCCTGCCCTCCTCCAGATTGTCCTGGAAGTAGTTCTAGGTGATTAACAGTTCCTCTGAGTGAACCAGCCTGTAGTGGTCTTGTCAAAGAGAGAACTGACAGCAGATCCAGTATCCAAGGAAGGGGGATGGCTACACTTGGGCATGTGACATGCCATATTATCGTCAACAAACATTTATATTATTCATGGGCTCTGTGAATACGATGAGGCCTAAGACCTNGGGGATGGCTACACTTGGGCATGTGACATGCCATATTATCGTCAACAAACATTTATATTATTCATGGGCCCTGTGAATATGATGAGGCCTAAGACCTTGTAGCTTCAAGTAGCTTTCAGAGAGAGAGAGAGAGAGAGAGAGAGAGAGAACACAACAACATGTACCATAGTAGAAATACTAATTGTGCAATACAGACAACAGTGCTAAAGATATAATATAAAAGCAGACAAAATTCATTGTGTTGAACACAAAAGGAGATGTAACCCAGATCTTTTAATTCTCCTACTGACCATTAACAGAAAAAAAGTTGCATTGAATCAGCAATTTTCAACCTTTTTCATCTCATAGCACACATAAACTAATTACTAAAATTCTGGGGCACACCAAAAATACATATTTTTTGCTGATCTGACAAAAATAGGTATAATTTTGATTCATTCACACTGGATGGCTATTGTTGTGTTGGCTGTTGTCATTTTTTTATTTGACAATCCAAGGGAAAAGAGGTCAGTGCCCCTGGCTGATATTTCATGTTTAAAAAATTACTGCGGCAAGCCAGTTGAAAATTGCTGCATTAAATGTCTATTTATAACTTTTTGCTTAACTATAGCCAATAATGTACCAAGAGGTAATTTATAGTTTTTCACCTCTTTTCTCGCCAAGGAGTTCCAAGCTAAATTTTGAAGTTTTACATTGAAATATACAATTCCAGTTTTCAAAAATATCTTCTTCCTGGTGGAGTCACGTTCCAGTTTTTAGTGCAATCCTGATCAGAGCCCAACTGAACTCTGAAAAGAGTCAGCTTTTAAAAAAAACAATAAAAAAATCAAGGTAGCCCAAAGACCCCAGCTGTCCAGTTTTGCTTTTCAACATTCTTGATGAGGAGTGACCTAAATGCAATGAATACTTTACTTTCTGTAACTCATCTTTTCATTGGCATTTCTAAAGTAGCTCAAACTCTGGACTCTAAGACTCACAGCATCTCACTTCACTGGCCCAAGGAAAACTAAAAAGCAAATCAAGTCAGAAAATGGGGGAATCACAGAGTTTCCTCTTCAAATCCCCAGTTAGATGAGGTCACTCAATGAGAGTGTGTGTTTCCAAGGCTCCTCAAATTTCCACACCCTCACCAGTGTCCTGGTTTAAACACAGTATTTGAAAACTTTTTCCAATTCCACCAAGTAAAATTGTAAATGCCCTATTAAACTGTGAGCTCCTGGTAAGCTTGTGATGTTTTGTCTTGTAATGTTTCTTAAAAAAAACTAAAGAATAAAGCACAGATTTACTAATGTGCATTATCCCCCTCCTCGCAGAAGAAAAACTAAAAATTTTAATATGGGAGTTAAAATTTAACTCAAAACGCACTGGTTAATGTCATACCAGCAATTCAAATACACAAAACCTGTAAACTCCTGTTTCCTTCTACTTGGGAGCACAGTTCAGGGAGTGGAGAAGACAGTTCAAATAACAAGCCATTTCCAATCTCTACAACTCTGTTTAGGAAAGAGCATGGAATCTGGAGGCAGTTGATAGACCATGTGCCATCTTCTTGGTTGTGGGATGCAGGTCAATTCCTTAACCCCCGTCTCATCACTAACCCCATTTACAAGTGAGAAGACTATCAACTCATAGGGTTTTGGAAGTGGCTGAGAATGAGAGGGCTTTCTGACCTATCTGATGTTTATTTTCTGGTTCACAGAACCATAAACATAACACAATAAGGATGACAGCCACAGGCCACAAAAACCGGTTCATCAAACCAATTTAAATGGCATGACAGGCCTTGTGCAAAGACTGTGCAGGGCGATCCTGGCAAGTCTTACAGGGCAATTTATACATCTAGAGCACTGTGCTTATGAGGTGACAGGTAAACTGCCAGCCCAAACTAACCGGCCGCCCCGGGCGCTGATCCCTCCCAATTTGGCGCTCGGCACCTTGGAGGCCGCAGGTCACTCACGGAGTCATAACATTGACTCAAAGGGCCCTTCGGTCTAAGGTGAGTCAGATGGAGTAAGGGCAGAGCCACGGCCCACCACCAGCAGCCACGCAAGGCACCCATCTCCCACGCTGGCGGAGGTCCGGGTCCCCGCCGGCCCGAAACCCCCGCCGGAAACGCCAAGTTCCCCAGCGGCGACCCCGGGGTCACCTCACCCGGCGACCTCGCGACGCCAGGAGGGGAGGACCCAACCCGGCCCAACGCAAACTGGCCGCTAAGGCTGGCAAGCCCTCAGAAACGTTGTCCACGAAGCAGGGGTCCCCCCACGCCCAGCCACCTCCCCGCTCACCCCGCTACCGTCGTCCCCGCCGGGTTTTCCTCAGGCCGGGGACGCAGCGGGCCGTGGCAGGCAGAGCCCAGCTCCCGAAGACCGGGGGCCAGTCAAGGCCCGCCGAGGAACCCGGAGGAAGTCCGGCGAGGTGCGGGCCACTCACCAGCCTCGGATCCGCTTGGCCGTCCGTCGGTCTGTCTGTCCGCAGCAGCCTCCGCGTGTCCGTCAGGAACTCCCTCAGTCGCCGCCGCCACCGGAGTCGAGACAGCGAGCGCGAGGGCTGCCGGACGTGCGCACGCCGCGAGGGGCGGGGCCTGCGGAGGACACGCCTCTGCGGCGCGCCCTAGGCTGCTCTCTTGATACCCAGGTCTGCGCAAGAAGTTGGGGTGCTTGTGAATGAACGCTGGCGCTAATAAGAGCAGGTGTGTGTGAGGCCGCCTCTGGGCTATACGCTTTTCTTGCCCGATGTCACCACCTCTTCAGGCTCATCTCGCGCTAGGCTCCATTTGCCCTTTCTCTTGCAGCCATACTGGCCTCCAGTCACTTCCTTAACCATTGGGTTGGGCTGGGCTGGGCTGGGCTGTCTGCAGATTAAATGACTGGCTGACAATGGCCACTGTTGGCAAAGGTGTGGGAAGTTTGCCGTGTATGTTGGAGTTATTGGATGTCCACGAAATAAATTCCAAACCTAAAGAAAAGTTGAGTTTATTAGAGCCAAGGACTGGGGGCTAGTCCTAGAAGCAAAATCTCAAAAGATAGAGATAATTCTATGGGAAATAGCAATTTTGCAGTTTATTTATACATTACAATCAAAGGAGAAGACCTAAGAAAGGTCACATGAAATCCATTGGTGTGTGGACAAAAAGGGGCCACATGCTAACCTGACTAGCTCAGGGAAGGCCTGTGTGGTGGACTTGCAAGCTCAGAGACCTAAAGTAACCTCGAAGGATGGTCTGAAATTAAAACTTTAAACTAAAAATCAGTTTATCGTGGATAGTCATGTCCTAGGCCAGTATCTTCCCAGACAAAGGTCAATCTTTACCTTAACTGAACCTATTGCCTTTTTGCATCTATGATAACATATTGTTGGAATGTCAAAGTAATTTTTCTTTTTCCAGACCCCTCAAGGGGCGGAGACCACAAATCCCCTCATTATATTGAGTCAATTGTTGACTGTTAACTATCCTGCACCCACCTAAGTAAAAGAAGTGTGTGTCCATCATTTTACTTTTTATCCGATCCCAGAGGTTCACCCCTTCCCCACTTTGCTCTATCCCGCCCCCCCCAATCTATCACCAATGGATTTCATGTAACGCACTTTCCTCTCCTCTTTTGATTGTAATGTATAAAACAAGGTATAAAACTGCGGGAGGCAGCCGATCAATGACTCTCTCATCACTGATGTTTCTATCTCTATCTCTCCCTCTCCCTTCCTCTCTGAAATCAATAAAGATATATTTAAAAAACATTTTTTTTAATAAATAATAATTTGAATACCTACAGTATACCCAGTCATGGGAACATAGCACAAAATCAGGCAGATTCTGACACTGAGAATATAGTAGCACAAAAGCAGACAAATTCAAGGCTAATGACTCTTTTCCTTCCCACATAGATATACTCTACATAAGGTGAGATAATTTATTTTCCCTCACACCCTTAATTGATATCAAACTTAATAGTATTTTATTATCGAGAAAAATCTGATTTATATTGCATTCCTAAAGAATTAGTCCCATAAGCTACGTGATACAATGCAGTTTACATATTATAATCATGTCATTTTTATGATTTAAAGTAATGCACAGGAAAGAAAAGAAATACCTTGTAAGAAGTAAACTTCAGTTTAAATATTTATAATATGTGTACTATATTGTATGTGGTAATGAAAATTTTTGTATATAAATGATATATATAGCATGGTAGCTGTAATATGGTAAAAATAGTCAAAAAGTTACAAAGTTTTAATAGGTAAACTTAAATACATTAGCATTTATATTCTGCTTTAAAATTGTGATGTTCTGAAAAGGAAAATTAAGTTCTGTTGTTATCAGAGAATTGTGCAGATGGCCTTTCTCTGTTGCTAGTGGGAGTGGGGCTTTTGGGGTGCCACTGGAATAAGCATTTCTGGAGGCCCCCACAGGAGGATGAGACATGGTAAAAGGCTTTGTGTGGAATTCCACCCCTCGGGTTGCAGAGTCCCATTTCCCTTAAACCAGTCCTAGAAGAGGTTCAGCTGGGGATTCAGCAAAGCTAAGAGGAAAGCCAGTGTCCAGAGTTCCCGTTCCATGGTGGAGCTGGGTCCAGTGCAGCATCAGGCTAGTTCCAGTGCATCAGTCTGCTGTGTGTGGGGTCCACATGCTGTGAGCCATGTGGAGAATGCAGGGGAGCACGCTCCCTGCAACAAGAGAGCCAGGAGCCCAGAGCACAAGAGAGGCAAGGGAGCCAAGAGGGCAAGAGAGGGGGTACTCCTTTGTTTGGGAGCCTATGTATGGCAGATTTTGCGCCCTTACAGTGGCCATGCCTGTTCTGGCCGACAACCTGCTCCCAGACTTGACTGGCTGTGCATCTTTGGTCCTCCCTTTGGTTCTTTCCAGTTAATTAATAGCTGGGGCAAATACAATGACAATATCATTATTACTCCAAATTATAGGAAGTAATTCATGTGTAAATATTTATTCAGTCACACCTTCTATTTAGAAAAGATTTGTTGAACTTAACATTTCACTGTAACACTCAGTTTCTGACCTCTTAAAAATTAATTCTCATAATATAAACATAGTATCAGACAAAGTAACTGTGCACTTTTTCTACCTTAATAAGTTGGCTATTGGTTTTCTGGTGTACCTTTAGACTGAATCTAAGTCACCATGGTAAATTCCCATGGATTTAAATCTCTCCAGTCTCTGAATTTACAGACCCATATGTTGATAGTTATGTCTATCTTTCCTGTATGATTATGACATTCCTGAAGTCCAGAAACAAATCTTGTATGTGTAATTTTCAGTTTAGCAAAATTCTAGGCACATGTTAATCTGTGAATACTAAACAATTGGTTTTTATTTAGTATAGTAGGAATTTTATGTTATAGCTTTACCCAAATTAAGTAATAACTTCCTATATGTTAAGGTTCTTTGTTGAATTACATCTCTCTTCTTGGCTTTATAATATCCAGAAACATCCTCTTGAAATCACATAGTTGGGTGTCTATTATTATCCATCTGGTCCTTGTCTCACGTTGCCTCCCCTAATCTTCCTGCCTAAATTGGTTACAGATAGTTCCCTGTCCTAGACTTAACACTCAAGGTCATTTCTCTGACACTACCTACCCACACTGACACTCAGGTGCCTAAATTCTGTCTTATCACTTATTTGCTTAGTTAATAATTAATTATTGGCTTTTGAATATGTTACTCAGTAAATACTGTGTTGCTGTGGACAACCAGGGAAAAAAAAGCAGCTATAGTCTTTCACTCTTTGAGGTTTACAATGCAAATATTAATAAAATCATAACATAGGAACATATAATTAAAGTATGAGGTATTCTCTAAATTAGTAGTACAGAATTATAAAAGATCCAAGAGCAATAATTAATTGTATAGGAATGNTAATTAAAGTATGAGGTATTCTCTAAATTAGTAGTACAGAATTATAAAAGATCCAAGAGCAATAATTAACTGTATAGGAATGTCTAATTTCTCTAGAGGAGCATATGTACTAGAAGGGATGTCTAACGGAGTTGGTGGTCTGACGGTGACACCTTGACAGCTCCTTGTTCCTCGCTTCCCTACCAGCTATTAAGGAGACATGTGATACAATCTTTACCAAGAACCAGAGAAAATGGGCAATGAAAAACTGTACTGGTCTAGGCAAAGAGAAGGCATTTGGAGCAAAAAAACATTACTCAAGCATTGGCTCTATTGTCATTCTCAACAACTTTGTTTCAATAAAATTAAAAAATAAAAGTATAGAATACTGTGGTGACAGAGTGGCAATATGAGAAATAAGTTACATATTCTAAGATTATTTATCAAATATTTTTAAAATTTATAAAATTTACATTAGCCCAAAAAGGAATAGCGTTAAAGTTTGTTAACTTAGAAAAGTCGTTATTCTTACCCAAGGTAAATAATTCAGCAGAGTCTTTTTGTCAAGTTGAACAGCCCATTTAAAAAAAAAAAAAATCTATATGTAGAAATATGGGGCTCAGAGTTAGAAAGTTATAGGTCACCATGCACCAGTTTTCTTCTCATGTTAGAATCACACTTCTTCTTTTATGACAAATGTCCATGATTGGCAACCATCAGCCTTAATAAAGAGAAGAGGCTCTGGAGCCAGTATTTTTTAGTTTAAATCCTGGCTTCACCACTTACTAGCTGTGTGACCTTGAGCAATTGCATAATCTCTTTGTGCCTTGTATATCTCATCTATCACATGGGGTAATAAGAGCATGTACATTGGAGAAAATTTAGATTAAATAAGATAATATATGTATGGTGCTTACAATATTGCTTAACACAAAGTGAGTGCTCATTAAAAGTTAGTTATAATTTACTGTTATACATAATAAGTCATCCCATGTAAGTAGATTGGTCTAATTCCTTCTGATATTCTACGCTCAATAGAAAAGGCTAACACTCACTGTGTGGCTGATATATGGCCTCCTAAGTTATTTATGTTGCTTTCTCTTTTGTCTCCTTTTCTACACACAACCAATGGCTATCATCCAGAGTTCAATCAAATAAGGTAATTCCCCTGTTTAAGACACTCAAATGTAATTGATCAACAAATTATTATTTGAGCGAAGTCCAAATTCTTTATCATGTCCTACCATAGCCTACGTATTAACTCTGCCCAATTCCCCAAATTCATCCCCTACCCCATTGAACATGGCAATCCACCTACACTGGCAGGTCCTTTTCTCTTTTCTGAATAGGTGTCAAGCAAGTGGCATCTGTTACCTGTTATCAAGAGTAAGAATCTGAGCACTTCTGCCCACTGCATTTCAGTATTGAAATAATCAAGGAAAATACAACACAGTCCAGCACTGAATGAAACCACCTTTTACTCACACAAAGAAATAGAGCAAGATCAGCTCAGTAGTGGGTGATGGTCCCCTGTAGCCGGAAGGTCCTCCCAGCAATCAATGCAGAGTCATGGGTCTGCATGCATCCTTTTTATGTCAGAGAACAAAGGACCATGTCCCCTCCCCACAGGAGACAGATATAGCAGTGGGGATGTCCAGGTATTGTATCATACATAGGCTTAATCAGAACAAAGGATACATACTGAGTCTGAAACAGGAAAAAATATTCCCACACAGGCAACAAGCCCAGCATAGGCTGGGAGGTCTCTTTCTCCTGTTAAGGAGGTGTTCCAGGCCTAGAGCCCATTCTTCCAGAGGTCAGAAGATGCCATGCATGAGGTCTTTCCCTACAATAGGCCTTTTGTACTTGCTGTTTCTTAAGCCTTGAAGGATTATCTATATGCACACAGTTTATTTGAGTTGCTGGCATGTACTAGACAATCAGTGGGTATAGAGTGGGTGAATGGGTTCAGTTCCTATCCTTTATTCTTGGTGATAAGGTCTATATCATATAAAAATACCTGTTGGCCTTTCTCTGGAAACACTCTTATAACCCCCTCATGCACTGGTTTCTGTGAGTGAGTCATATATTTTATTTAATG